CTGGGACACTCACCTCCCGGGCTTCCGTGGCCTTTGCTCGCCCACGGCCTCCTGGGAGCTGGCAGGAGGCAGCAGCGGGCTCGCCTTCCTTGGAGCAGCCCCTGAACCTTGGGGTATTTGCCGGACGACTTCTAGAGAGGAGTGGGGATGTGCTCTGAGCGGGCTCGCTGACAGGACCCCTCCCCGGCTAACTGACCTTCTGCCCCATCTACACCTCCACCCCATCCCCTCCCTCACCTTGATGATGTCGCCTACATGCCCCTGCCCCGCCTTGCTGGGGTGAGATGAGTCACGAACTAAGAGGTCCAGGTGCTGGAAGAGAAGGGGTGCTGATAGCAGCAGCCAGGGTGTCGGAGTCTGGGGTGACAAGTCCAGAAACGGGCATCTCACCTGGATTGGCACCATCCCATAATGCCTGCCCATCACCTCGGCCACGTGGACAAACATCTGGGGACGGGGCACAGGGGTCATGGCTGGGCCACTCCAAGCGCTGTGCCTCCCCTCCCCCTGGGCCACTGGAGGACACCCTCCCGGCTCCTGGCCCCAGGACCCTCCTACCTCTCCCCAGCCAGGCACCTCCTGGTTTACCCCCCAATCCTGCTCCAGGTCACAAAATCCTGGGCCAGAGCTGAAAGGCACCCCTGGCCTCATGGGCAGGGCAGGGACAGGGTTCGTTCGGCCCCAAGAGCAGCTGTCTCCTCACCTCCAGATATTCCAGGTCTGTATCCTTCAGCTCCTGGAAGGCCGTGAGGATCTGGAACCAAGGAGAACAAGGTGGAAGAGGGTCTGTGAAGGCAAAGAGACACTGGGAAGACCCCGGTGAGGAAGGAGCCCCAGGCAGATCGTGGGGCTCAGGATGTGCGAGGGACCAGCCTGGGGGTCCCCCCGCAGCCTGCAGGGCAGGGCTGGCCTGGCCCGAGGGGTGGAGGGCAGGCAGGGGAACAGTCCACAGACCTTCAGCTGCCCCAGGGACCTCCGACCCACCTTTAGGACCTTCACACTGACTGGGGGCACCCCCAGAACCTGTGGGGACCCCAGACACAGGAGCCTCCGGGATAAAGGGGACGGTCCCCAGGGCTTGGAGGGCCAGACCCGGCTGGGATGGCCCTAGTGTGGTGGCGAGAGCGGAGCAGGGCAGGCAGAGGGGCTGGGGGGCCTCACCTGGTAGGAGCTCAGCATGGAGGTGAGGGCGCAGAGCCGGGTCCTCGTTTCCCTGCTCAGTTCAGGGCTCATGGCATCCCCCGTGTCCACCAGGAACACGGCCACCTGTGTGGAGGCAGGGGTGCACACTGAGGGGTCAGCCTGCCGCGCCCCCCAGGTGCCTCTGCCCGCCCCATCTTCTTGTCCCGGCCCCCAGAGATTTCCTCCCCGTTCCCTTCTCCGTGAGCCGGTCTGGACTCCTCTGCCCCTTCCCCCCTCACCTTCCTCCCCCCCTTCCCCAGCAGGAAGGGATGGCTCCACATCCAGAGGCCCTTGGTGAGGCTGCTGGCTCCCCACCGGAAACCCTGCCCGGAGCACCCTCCCCTCGGCCAGCCGCCCTCGCCGGGCTCCTGTGGGGCAGAGAAGCAGAGCATCCGTTGGCCCATCCGGCCCCCTCCCCTCCCCAAGCCAGGCTGGGTCCCTGCGCCTGCCCCCAGCCCCCGGCCCAGCCCCGCCCTCACCAGGCCGGGCAGGCCCTGAAGCAGGTGGTTTAGGAGGAAGGTCTTCCCCGAGTACCGCTCTCCCAGGACAGCAAGGAGGCAGACGGGGGTGTCCCTGGCCAGCGGGTGCTTCAGGCAGCGGTTGATGGCCCCCATCCTCAGGATGAGGCCCCCGGAGGCGTTGACACGCACCAGCAGCAGCGGCTGGGCCCTCACCGCGCAGGTCTCCTGGGCCCGGAGACAGGGCTCCCTGAGCTCCCAGGCTGGGGAGCGTCCACCCGAACTCCACCTCCCTCCGTGACATCCCAGTGCGAGGTCAAAGCCCCCGCCGGGAGGAGGCCCGCGCACCTGCAGCGCGGTGGGCAGCGGCCTCCGCGGCAGGAGCCTCATCCTCTCCCCCAGGCCCCGGAGGCCCTTCCTCTGCGTGCAGGTCTTGCGGCACTCGGGGCAGCAGGGCGGCCCGCAGCCAGGGACACGGTGGGTGCTGAAGCACCGCGGGCAGAAGTCGTGGCCACAGTCCAGAGAGATGGGCTCGCGCGGCCTCTCCAGGCAGATGGAGCAGGCGGGCGGCTCCCGGGGCGCCACAGGCCGGGACCCCAGACCCAGGTCCAACTTGGGGAATGGTGCGTGGGACCTGGGGGCGGTGTGCGGGGCGCGGGGACCCCGGGGCAGCAGTCAGAGGGAGCCTGAGACGGAGAAGCCTGGAGGGAGCCGTCTTGGGCAAGTTCCCGCCCAGGTCTGCCCCGTTTCTAACGGTCCAGGAGGGAAGGATGGGGTGAAGAGACAAGATGGTGCAACCTGCCGGGAGCCTGGCACAGACGCCCACGGAAATCCTCCCCCATGGCCTCCTGCTGCGAGGGGACGGGGGGGGGGCCCTCCAAGGGTCACTGACCTCTCCAGACCCCAAGGGGATCCCTTCTATTACCTCCCTCGGGCAGCGGGGACCATGAGAGGCCTCCCGGGGGGCAGCAGGCGGCTCTTGGAAGATTCCAGCCCTGAGCTGGCATCTGCCTCGCTGCAGCACCCACCTGGTTTTCCCACCCCTCCCTCCACAGCCTGGCGGACCCAGCCTCATGCTCCCTCCCCTGGGACAGGCATCCAGGCCCCAGTCCTGCCGCCAGGCCCTGCCACTTACCAACTGTTGCTGCTGTTGCCCATGAAGCTCTGTTTTCTCTCCTTGGAGAGAAAATTGGGGAGAAAAACAATCCCAAAAATGTTATTTAGAAGGGAATCCAGACTTCTATCTTCATCCTGGATTCCAGGTGCCCCCATCCTCCCTCTGCAGACCCAGTCCCCACCTCCAGGTCTCAGGACCAAAGACTCGCCTGTTTGCCAAGCCGGTGACAAAAGGAAATGACTGACAAGGCAGACCTCGGCATGGGGGGCTGGCGTGGGGAGAGGGTCCGGGAGAGGGTCCAGGAGAGGGTCCGGGAGCAGGCAGGACACCCAGGAGACCTTTGGCAGCGCTGAGGATGGCTTCCCTCCCGGAAGGGCTGGCGGAGCTGTGGCCAGTGGAGGCTGGGGGGGGATCTCCCCAGAGGACACAAGTCGGCAGGGCTGGAAAATGGATGTGACAGTCGGGAAAGAGGAGGCTGCCTCTGGACTCACCCCAGGGGGAGGAGACAGGACTGCAGGAACCAGGGCTCCGGAGGGAGGGACGGAGCCGGGCCCAGAATCCCTGGCAGAGGCTGGGATGCAGGCAAGCCGGGGTGGTGAGTCGCCATGGAGACGGGAGGGAAAGATAAGGACAGGGAGGGGGAGGGTGGATGGAGAGGAAGCCATATGGGTGCGCGGTAGACACGGGACTAGGCTGGCACTGCCCCTGCTGGCCCAGCAGGGCTCTTCCGGGGCCACCGGGCAGCGGGTGTAGAAGGCAGAGCTGTGGGAACGGGGAGAGAGCATGACCTGTGCTGACCTAGAGCCACGATGGCCTCCTTCCTCCCATGGATGGTCTCTGTACTGGGCACCTGCCAGGTGCGGGGCCCGTGATGCCACCCCACTGCCTGTGTGTGTGCCACCCCACTGCCTGCACGCCCCTCCCTCCAGGTTGTCCCAGCTGCAGCTTTCCTCAGCGCCCTGGGCTGTTCTGACGTTGGCTGCGTGTCCCCTGGTGTCTTCCTCCTCCAGTGACTTTCACCCTCCTTCAAGCTTGTGACAGTTACCCCTGGCCCTTCTAACTGCCTCTCACCTGGGATCCTCCCATCCACCCCCCAGTTCGCGGCCAGCCCAGAGCCCTGAGCACAGCTGACCCCTCGCTGCACAAACACCTGCCATGGCTCCCTAGTCCCATCGGATGGAAAGCCAAAGTTCCTGGTCTGCCTGAGCCTTCCTCCGTAGCCCTCCCTCCCCTGCCTCCACACCTTTGCCCAGTGTTCCCTGTGCCTGCAGTGGGGCCCCCATCCCTTCTGAGACCCTCGCAGGCCCAGCTCAGGGGCCGCCCCTCCCGCCTGGACGTGATCTTGCCCTCAGGTGGCCTGTGGCTTGTGGACCTGACCCGTGATGGGCTCTGGAGCCGGGCTGATCCGGCTCAACTCCCAGTTGACCCCTGCGAGCCGGGGCCCCAGGTGCTGCCTTTCACTTCTCTGAGCTCTGAGGGGTCACGATTACATATGGAAAGCCACTTGCCCGGGGCTAAGAGTTATTCTTAAACCAGGATGCAGTGGGGTGGGGTGGGACTCCTACCCTGGAGGCTGTCAGGCGAGACCACCGTCAGCAGGTGGGGATGCCCCTGCAGCCGGGCTGGGCCTTGCTTCCCGGGGACGGAGGGCCTCTTAATCAAAGCAGAGACTCGAGCCCTCAAGGGGTTGAGAGCAAAGCCTCACTGGGCGGGGTTCAGGGCCGTGTCCACTGCTCTCCTTCCAGGCCAAGTAGGTTTTCTCGGTCACGCGGCCTCACATCCCTGGCAGACAGATGCGGGGAGAGAGCCTGGACGCCTGACTCACATGCACTCCGACCCCTGCCCTGTCCCAGCGTGAGACCTGGGAAGGGACCGACCTCTGGGAGCCGCCATTTTCTCATCGCCAGGCAGAGATGTGGTAAAGCAGATGGGCACCCAGCCTTCCCCCAGCAACCCTCCCTGGGCACCCGGCCCTCAGGGCACGTGTCCCACTGTGGGACAGGCCCCTGGTGGCCTGGCTCCAGCCCCTGACCTCCTGACCTCTGTTCCAGCTTCTGGGCTGGGAGGAGGGGGCTGGGGTGGGGCCAAAAATCCAGTCTCCAGACGGGGACCCTGTTTGGGGGTGACCCTGGGTCCCCAGATGCAGGCAGGAGCTGCTTCAGCAACCCCGGTGCACACGCGCACGCACACACCGCCACACGTGCCCTTCACGTCAATTCACACACATGCACACGGTCGGCACGCACCTCACCCGCACTGCGCACACGTGCCCTCACTGCCCTCCCTCGCCTGTGGACCCCAAACAATCATGCACACATGTGAACACGCCACACTTAGACTCACAGCTGCACACAAACCTCCGCACATATGCATATGCTCACTCATGAATGCTTATGCAAACACATTCGCGTGTGCACCAAGGCCTTCACGCTCGTGCACACTTACACTCGAGCTCACAGTCCCACAGGGACACACACACACTCGTACCCACAGGCACACGAGCTCACCCTCAACCTCACAACCTATGAGGAGCCACTGTTTCACTCTCATTTCACAGATGACAAAACTGAGGCCAGAGACGTTAAGTCTCTTTCCAAGGTCACACAGCTGTGAGTGACGGTGCTGGAATCCTGACCCAGGCCGTCAGTCCGCCCACCTAGCCACCCAGCCACCCAGCCACCCCTGTATCCGTCCACCTTCTCATCCATCAGCCTCCAGCGTGTCTGCCCATTCAGTCATCCGTCCTTACACTTCTCGCCCAGAGGACAGGTATTTACTGAGCACATCACACCCGGCAGGACGCAGGCCCTGAGTACAGGCTGGTGAACACTTGGGGTGCCTCCAGTCGAGCAGGGGAGGAAGCAGGGTCCCTAGACGAGTCCTGAGGGATACGCTCTCTGCCGAGGGCTGTGGGGAGAGGCAGCCGTGAGCACGGAGCGAAGGCAGGGCACTGGGGTCTGGACACGTGGGCAGGTCGGGCCTGAAGGATGAACAGGAGTGGCAGGCAAAGGTGTGGTGGGTGGGAGGGCAACACTCTGGCAGGGAGACCAAGAGGGGAAGGAGGGGAGGCCAGGGGGCGGGGCACGTGTGCCCCGCCCTGGGGAGCCACAGGCCTCTGGGTGCTGTCAGGTATGCTGAGCCCCGGACTTGGCTGCCTTCATGCCCAGGACTCTCCACCCCTGCCCTCACCCAGGCCTCACCAAGGCGCGTCTGTGCCAGGCCACCTCATGTGAGCACCAGAGACCCGGACGGGCCGCTGTTGGGGGAGGAGGACAGGGTCCTGGAGCCGTGGGATGACAGAGCTGGAGGGAGGTGCCCTGTTTGGCTGCCACCTTCTAGCTTCGAATAAAGACCAAGGTGAAGCCAAGCATGGTGTGGAATTCCTGCTTTTGTGGAGAGAAAACAAGGTTTCTACTTCCTGGATGGTCCCTCCCAGGGCCACGAGTCCCCTCCCATCAAGGTGGCCCCCGCCCTGCCCTGAGACAGCCGCTGGTATTGAAAGGCCCCCTCCAAGCCCCCCCGCCCCCACCGCTGGCCATCATTACACGTGGTGTGTAGTTTCCACCTCTGTGTTCAGAGCTGGTGGGGGGCAGTCAGCAGAGGGGCGCCCAGGCCAGCCCTGAACCCTATGCTGGGCAGGACACAGTCCAGGCGCTGGCAAAGCCAGGCCCATTGTGGCTGCCCAGGACCCTGACCCTGACCCTGGCTCCACTCCCTCTCCTGCCAGCTGCCAGGGACTTCCCATCGTGGTAGGAAAGTCCCGAGTCCCTAGCCTCCCGTTCGGAGCCCCCGGCATCAGTTCATCCCCGGCTTCCTGAAATAATTTTCATAATAGAACAACCATCCGACACCTGCTTAGCAATTTAGGGTCACGATGTCTTGCCAAGAGCTGCCTTCACTGATTCCCATAGCACAGAGACAGCCCGGCGTCTTGAGCTGGGAAACAGGCTTGGGCGCGGGGCGACCGTCCAACTGGGTGAGGCCCCAAGTCTGGGCCTCACCCAGACTTGGGGCCGCTGAGGCTCAGTCTTGCAGGATGGGTGGGAGTTAACCCCCCTTCATGAAAGGTGCTGGGTGAGGATGGGTGTTCCAGGCACGGGGAGCAGCCTGTGCAGAGGCCGGGCTGGGGTCAGTGCTGGGGAGTAGGGCAGGGTCCGGGGACCGAGGTGGCGGTCAGCAGAGCACAGACATCGGAGGGACATGGGGCAGATTTCAGATTTTCCTTGCATGACAATGGGAATCGTAAACGATTCTAAAGAGGTGTGTGAGCAGATTTGTGTTCTGGAACTATCGCTTTGCCTACACAGACACACTGGAAGAGACCTGGATGCTCTTGGCGGCATTTAACTGGGCCTGCAACCCATCCCCTAGGGACAGCCGTCCAGAGCATGGCTAAGTTTTATTGTAACAGACAGCAGTCAGAGAGTCACACAGAAGCTTCCACGGCCTGGGGCGGCCCAATGACATGTGCTGAATGTCAGGAAAGGAGTAGAGAAGCCAAAATTCCAACACGGGGGACAGGAAGGTGGGCTGCAGGGGCAGGACACACAAGACGGGGGCACTCATTGATGTGGTGACAGCAAGTGACAGCGGTGAAGCTGGGGCAGTCAGCGCCTTTCTGAGGTTCGCACCAGTGGGTGGGCAGACCTCGGTGGCTGGCGGCCAACCAGCCCTCACACACCATCTCCCCCCAAACCCGAGCCCAGACCTGGCTCCCGGCCCCTCCCCCCGCACCACCCCATTCAGACTCCCAGCCGCCCACCAGGTCTGGAACATCCAGGCAGTGGGCCAGGACGCTGAGGGACAAGGCCACCTGGCCCCTGAGGAGCAGACTCCCCACCAAACTCCGCCCAGCTGGACCCGGCCCCCCAGACCCCTCCAAGGTGAGAGGCAGCGCCTCGCAGCTGGACAGACAGCCAGACTGAATTGGGGCCGGGGGCCCCTTTGGTCCAGGCCTCTACATCCAGACCTCTACTGGCCAGGTGGCCTAGACGAACCACCCCCAAGATGGGCCGCACCAGCTGGAGGGCCCTGGACAACACCCAGGCCTCGGCTCAAATACCAACCCTGCCCAGCTCACCGGGCCTGGTCACTCCCCTCACTCAAGCTCAGTGTCCCAGCAGTAAAACTAAAGATAATCCTCCCGTGCGGGGTTATTGCAGAGAGCCCGGCATGCAGCTGGTGCTCAATAAATGTCAGCTGCTGATGAGCCGTGGAGGCGAGCCTGGGCTCACCTCACTGTGCCCGCGTCTCCCCAGGCGC